CTTGCAGCACTATAAATCAAGCAATGTTCAAAACAACTAAACTTCATTGCATTTTTCCTGAATACAAACTAGAGAGAAATCAGTTTCACAGTTTGTTATTTAAAACAGAGCTATGATCAGTTTCAAACAACTTACCTCCTTTCACTAGGATAGGGCACATGTAACTAGCACTGGTTTGTGTGACAAGGATTGGTCAGGCACCTATGAACAACCCTTATGTGGCTGTCTTAAACATTTAAGGAAGATACTTGATAACTATCAGGAAGTACCATACAAAGTATGAGGAAGATGTATGATAGATCTGATGAGGGAATTCGACAACTCCCAAAACCGCCTCTCACCCTACTCCACCCCAGCTAGTCTTACCTATAACTAAAAGTTATATTAGTTCAAATGACGGAACTCTAAACACTCATTTGATAACTTACCCATGGTTATGCTCTGCTTCTATTCTGTTTTGGTTAACTAAATGGTTAATATGTACAATTTCCCATCTTCAGTTTCAAATTCTTGCTGATAGATCTGTTTACCAGTCCCCAGTCACTGTCATTTCCTTTCCTGATTCAGTGTAAGGAGAAAATTACAATGCCAAAGAGCACAAGACTGAATTACTGAACCATCCTTCACTTGCTTAGCCAAATACTCAATTCTAATGCAACTAACCATGTTTTCAGTTATCCAAGAAAATCTGCTTTTCTATATTTAGAACATAGACTCTTCTTTGAATTTTTAAACAGATCACTTGCCCTTGTCAAAAGATAGATCGATTCTGGATAGTGTGCGTTAAAGCAATTCAGTTTAATTCAAATGCTTGAACAGCAGAGAAAAATTACAATGCAAAAACTTTCTCTGACTTTAGCAGCAAAATTATTAGAAAAGTAAAAATGTTAGGGAATCAATTTTTGCATCTGAGCTATCCCATTCTGAGTCTGGTTTGATTCACTGATTGCAAAGACTTGGAACGTGAAACTTCAGCCTTTCTTTCAATTAACTTTTTAATAAACATTTGACTGATGTACTAAACAAATACACTGTGAATGTACATAAGACTAACTTTGCTGCTTAGTGTCAGATCCTGCCCCGTTCTTATGTTTACCGGTACGTATTTCACATTGCAGATGCTTCCTCAGCTTCACCATTTATTACTGATGGTGAAAAAGGGAAGCAAAATTATCTGGTAATGAGTAGGACCATACTTTGGAAATGATTTTCAGTTAACCGTTGTTTCAATAGGGTTTTGCCTCTCTTGTGCCCAGTAATTTTTTTTCCACAGTAAAGTTTATGTGCATGAAACAAGGTCTTACACTTAGTACAATACCTGAGACACTCACTAAATTAATCACAACTAAAGATTATAGAATTTATCTTTAAAAGTGAGGAAATTTCATGATGAGACTGGAGCTTCGCTGAGAATGATGACAGCAGGATCAAATACTCAGTTTGGGAAATACCAAAGCCATAGTTATCCATTTAACTGTAAACTGCTGGTTTTGTACACTATACATCTGATATATGTCACCAATTAAAACCGTGAACAAACTTTTCAAACTAACAGAAACTTTATCACGTGGTCTGATTCAAACTTCACATTGTACGAGAAATAATGTAATACAATATTAATGTTCTAATATTCTTTCTACTCCGTCTAATGTCCACCTTATAGCATTTGCAAAGAATAAAATATGCTCCTGAATATTTAAACTTTTATTTTACCTTTGTAATTCAAACTGCCAAGTTTTCAACAACGCTAAATATTAAGTATGATTAAACTTGCAGAAACACATTTTACACAAAATTGCCAAGCTGAGAAACTCTTATTTAACTTTTACCAAGGAGATAAAATCTCTAGGGAAACGCTCCAGGAGCACAATAGCATTATGGAGCTAAGTGAATCCAGAGCTCTTGCCTGCATTTAAGAGATGAGGCTGTGCTACAGCTTGCTCCATACATGGTTTCAGTAATGCTTAGAAAGCATTGAGCATCAACTGTTGTCTTGGAAGTGCCTTGCGCTGTGATTAGTGATCTCTCCTGTGTCCACACATCTGTGTGGTCAATTATCCTAATCTCTGGTTTCACAGAACAGAAATTGCATCTTTAACTAAACTGGAACAGCTTTTGAGTTTCTTGAGATTCCAAAGTAGCACATTTTCATTTTCCAAAAGAAACAAAATCTTAAAGGAACTGAGGTCACCAATTGCTATACCTCTTAAGAAAACCAGAATAATCTAAAAACGTGTTGCATACAAGGAAGTGATAGTTAAAGGTCAAAAAAAGGACAAACTGAAACTGCTAAGGTTTATCCAGCTCAATTGACCCACTGTTCCAGAAAGTTCAAACAGGCTTCCAGGAGCAATCAACTACAAAAATGAAAAAATCCTAACTGAAATGAAGGAGGGGGCCTATAGTATCACAGAGTATCAATTCCTACTGTCAAACCTTTGACTTCTAACATAAGTATCTGCAAAACTTTTTAGCCTTTACTCATTACAGACAGTATCGATTTCGAATTACTGTAGTTACACTCTACCCTGACTCAAAGACGTGTTTTACAACTGAAATGTGAACACAATTTCAGTGAATTATACACGAGATCTAACCTGTTCACTGTGCTAATATTATTTTTACTGATACGTTAACTGTAGCTGGATGATATATTCTTCATTAAAAGAAAAATGATGTATACCTATTGAATGAATTACTTCTAAGGTTATTTCTTCTAGTCTCCTGATGATTGCTCTGCTATATAGATTAATGTTTAATGTGTAATTTATCTTATCCGTGTTACTTTGCACTTCTCATACATGAGCCACATGGATAAAATTTGCCCAGTGGTCTGCTCAGTCCACAATACAAATAATGATAATTGATTCACAATCTCTCCCATTACATAGGTTGACTATTAATGATTAAGCCATTTATGGTATGTTGTTTAACAAGGCACAGATGAGAAAAGGAAATACCAAGAATGATATTCAACCTTTGCTTTTATGGTGGTTTTGTCACACCACTCAGGGAGCGGTCCAGTATCTCTTGTATCACTCCATGACCCTTCTCTCACAAGACTCTTTCTGATCCATTGGAGTTATTTTTTTGCTTAACAACTGCAAGTTTTGCCTAACATTAAGATTATCAGATTTGGGCTGAAGTGGCTTCAGAAAGGCAGCTTCTTGCGCTGCTTTGCCTTTGAGAAAACTGAGGTCTCATGTAGAAAATAAATCCTTAATAGGAAACTTAATAAGTAGAGAACAAGTGATCAGTGACCTGAACCGTACAGCCGCAGATGGGATCTCTTGTTGGAGGCCATAAAGAGGCATGGGGTAAACCATTCTTAACAAAACAAAGTTAGTGACTACCCCTTGGGTTTTTTCGAAAAGGCAAGAAGATGCTTTCCTGCTTTCAAGGCTGAGTAAGCATTTTGTACTAAACTGTCAATAAAATGTTTAAGCAACCCTTGGAAGTAGGGTGAACTAGGTTCCACTCCAGATCAAATAGCTGATGTAGTGACTAGAATAAAATTTCTCTGATTTATTCTTTCTGGTTCAACATTTTGAATTCTTCCCTAACACTCAGCAAAATAGGGTAGAGAATTTTGGCCTGCTACAAATAATGAAATAGTCAGGCTATTTGTCCGGAAATTAAGAACTGTGTGTTAAATCTATCTAGCATTTCAAAAGCAAGACTAGGCAAGGGCCACATTTCCCTGTCTTCTGAATCTGATTTTTCAGCACACTGGTTGTCAGACACATTTTGCAAGAACTCATTGCAGGTACATGCTAGACAGCCTCAGAGCACAGTTACTTCTTTCTACCATGTATAGGATGTTGCAGTCCTCCTTTAGATGGACTTCAATGGTATTTGAGGACTTCGGGCATTTTTAGTGCTTAAGCAGATGTTTTGAACATTGCTATCTTTGATAGTAATTTAGCCACCTAAGTCTGTCCTTGGGTCCATAACTACTCAGTGGATCTGGTCCTCATCATACTGATTAAGAGCCTGCCAGCAATCAAAAATGTATTATGACATTGGGGCACTTTCCTATACACAAATACACATTGCTTTTCCCTTCTGTGAATTTTGTATTCTGCTTCTCTCACGCTTCTACCCTCTGTAACAAGGAATACAGAAGGATTAGTTGAGGCACTCACTAGCCACTCTCTTTTTCTGATCTTCATGATCTTTCCCTTTCCTGGTGCCACCAGAGCAAAAGCAAATTTGCATATCCTGTTAGAGAATAGTATCGGTTTTAAATGGCACTATCATTCTAAGAACAGAAAATTATTAATTCTCTTTTATGTAATTTCTCCTATATAATCCCTCTTGAGGTAATTTTCTTTTGCTTATCAACTTCACTGTAGAATATTGCAGGTGTCATGCTTTCAGACTCACAGGGAAGAACTTGGTATTCTCAAGTTTTTCTCCTGTTAATTGGTATTTATCAGTCCTAAGTTAGAAAATATTGTCTCTCTGGCAAGCAAAAAGAGCTCATAAGGCTCTCAGTGTTTGCTTATTGATTGCAGTAGGATTTGTTCCAGCAGGCTAATTAACGCATCTGCTCTAATAAATCCACCTGGGAAGGAAGGAGCACAGGAACGAGAACGAAAAGCTGCAATTTCTAAGCACTTGGCCAGTGTTACACAATAGTTCCTGACCCTGCAATCAGTGGATTTCCTTTACTGGAAAACATTACTCAGTGAAGAGTTTCTGAAAGTCTGAACCTAAACGTCTTTTTGACTAACAAATATCCCAGTATAACCGAGTGACATTTCACCAGAGTTACTATTCATTCACTTATAAAATTTTTTTCTGCTTCTGATTAATATTAGCATTCTTTTAACATAAAAGCAAGCTAAAAACTGTGTGCGCATCTTGGCAAACTGAGAAGTATAGAAATTATTTTAAGAGTAGCCATACAAAATGGTTAACAGATGTGGTCTGTGAAAGGCCTCAGATCCTTAATATTCTTTTTTTTTTTGGTCTGTTGTTACTGTTCTAATTCTTACCATGCATTTGCGATCATCCACCCCAGCCAAATCCTCCTCAAACTCCTTTCCTACATCAAATTCCATGATGTAGTTTCTAAAAGTGCTTAGCGTTTTAATGATCATATGATCCCCATTCTGAAGGATTTCTTTGTCAGGTTTTAGCAAGTTTGCTATTTTTCTTACAGCAACATTTACATCTGAAAAAGAGAAAGAATTATTTTAATCCAGAAAAGTCTACCACAAAAAGAAGCTTGTAGCTCTTGGGAGAACTAAAAGAAAGATAGATAAATAGATGTCCAGATCTTTCGAGCCAGCTTTCTCATCAGGAAAAAGTCCGCAGCCTAGTTATTTTAACTTAAGTTAATGTTTTGATTTTCTGATTATGTAGAATCCTAAAAAATACCATTTGTATTTGACAGCTAAAAGGCCTTCAATATTTCTATTGAAATACTAGCACTTCACATCAAATGCAAACACACAAAATCACATTGAGTACATTGTCTCTTTATTACACATACAAATTTTACTCTTTTCCAAATTATACTTGTTTTTTTAAGTTTGAAATCTGCCACTTACCTCTTCAAGCTATGTAGTTTAATCTCTGTTAATGTAAGCTTCAAGATGGTAAAAAGTAGAGGCTGCTTAAAACAAAACAATTTTGCGTAAGGCAATTCTTTAAAGTGCATTCCTGAAAAAATATCTCACAAAAATGATTTATGACTGTACAAGAAAAAATAGTCATGCAAGGACTAAGTCAGGTTGCATTTATTGATTACTTATTAAAGACATGAAGGGAACCTTACCGAGTGCTTTCAGATACTCCTCAAAATTGTCATTGCTGACCATTTTCCAGTAACCATTGAAATCTGCAGGCATCCCTACTTTAGATAATTCTCAAAATCAAAGTCTCAGAACAGCGTGTTGATTCTGCACCACTCAGGTCACTGCCTTTCTTTGTGGCGAGTTTGAGTTCTGGTTTCTTTTATCTCTTTTTTAGACCATGTAGCTATGCAAGTCCTTCTAATCCGATTATTGTTGAAGTGTTGCCTTTAAATCCTTCCACAAGGCTGAACCTCTGAGATTTCTAATGACAGCAGGATGACTTGATTTAACCAGAATGAAACATTCACCTTGTATGTAACTTCTGTAGGGGTATACTGATTATCTTGAGATCCATTTTAATCATATTACTCTTCATTTTTCATACTACTCAGAAAAAAAAACAACTTTTAAATAGCTTTAGGTTAGGGTATTAGCCAAAGTTATACAAGTACTTATCTTGGTTTTTGGTTTTGTTTTGTTTTGTAACTTCTGTAGGGGTATACTGATTATCTTGAGATCCATTTTAATCATATTACTCTTCATTTTTCATACTACTCAGAAAAAAAAACAACTTTTAAATAGCTTTAGGTTAGGGTATTAGCCAAAGTTATACAAGTACTTATCTTGGTTTTTGGTTTTTTTTTTTTTTTTTTTTTTTTTTTTTTTTTTTGAGGCAAATCCTTCTTCCTTGAATATGTTCCAGCTACTTCATGCCGCCTTCTTTTCAGAAAAAGAATCACACAGACTCTCAGTGAAAGCAAGTTGTGTCTGGCATTACCTTAACTTGTTCTACAAATTCCTTAATTCTAGAGAACTACCAGTGGAAGCTGTTTAGCCAACAGGGCTCAAAATGGGCCAGTCAGGTGGAAACTTGCATTAAGAAGCCATGGTTAATTCTGTATATTGATAAATGCATGCTTTCAGTTAATTTAAGCAACATGAAACACAGAAGTAGCAGTTTCTAGAGATACTATCTTCTTCGAAGATGTTTTCTGTCTAAAATGAGATAGACTGAATCAGCACAATAGGCAACATACAGGAGAATGGATTTTTCTGGCTAACATCAGGGATCAAATACTGTGATAGCCTCTTAGCTATTTTCATTTATTTTCCATCATGTATTTTCAAATGGTACAGCTGAAGCTTCTCTTGGATATGTTATCTTCTCCAGGGCTTTGGCAATTACTTACTCATATAGAAGACTCTGGTTCAGAGAAGCAGAGAGCTACTTTACACCCACTTTAAATCTGGGGATGAGGACTGTCTGTCATATGTGAATCTGGAGGCTTAGAAGTGACTTGAATGGTGCATGCATTTTTAAGTGCTTGCATAAAAGAAAGATTTCCATCTTTTGTCCAAACTGCAAAAATACAAAAAGTTATTCAGGGTCCTAAAAATTCAAAGTTTAGCAGTAACACATATTTAAAAATATATATATAGAGAGAAAAGTAATAGTACATTTTATTTTGCTGCTTCAGAACAGTAAGGCATCTTCATGCTCAAACCGTAGGATTACAGAATCACAATTCAGGAAAGTACTATGTTTGACCCTTAAGTACTACTGGATATTAATATTTATTGTTAAGATCTTATTTCTTTAATTTTCTTAAGGAAGCAGTTCTTTAAATATTTTAAGCTATGCAGCTGAGCATCCCGATTTGCTTAAGCGCTACCACATACAAATCCATGAATTTAAAACACCACATGAATTCAAGAAATTTTGGACTGAGGTACTTTCCCCTCATTAACAAGAAACAACTTTCTCAAGAACTTTACATGAAAAAGTATCAGGTCTGTCCACTTCCCAAATTACAGACATCAGTCATTTAGTGGGTTTACTGTTTTATGCAATTTTAGAGGCTGAAGCAAGTCACCTTCATTCTTCCGCTCACTCTCTTCTGTGTAGATATTATGGCGCACGATGTAGGATATAACAGAGTCTGGTACGAGGTATTTTACACTTAATCCTCTGCGCAAGGCAGAGCGTATCTGTGTTGCACTGATTTCATTCTGAACCCATTCTTTCACCAGAAAGATATTGTGCTGAAATTTAGTTAAAAGGTCCGATTCATTGATATATGTAGCAGGATCAGAGCCGGCACGGCTAATACACACCAAACCAAACTTTTCCACTATTTCTTTGATGTGTTCTTCCTTCCAGAGATTAGGTGTCTTGAATGTCTGTAGAAAATCAGCCCCACAAAGCAGCTTTAATTCTGGTAGAACTGGAAAGACAAAACAAAATGAGAGATTTCTCTACTTGCTTTGTTTTCTAGGAAGTTTGTCCTTTAAAATTGGTTTTAACTCATCACTTTTTTTAATCATTTACCTTTACTCCAGTTTTCTTTCACAAGGTTGCAAGAAATATTCAACTTGGACTTTATGCATCTGGTCACAATTCCCTACTTCATCATCACTCACAACATACCAAATTATCTGTACAATGTTAAAGGAGAATTATTCCCCCACTCAAGCAAGCAAAAAAGGTGGAAAAGCAAATAAAGGAGATAATTATTTAAGCACAAAGACTAGACTTGGTTGAACCTGGCAACTACAGCCCTGCCTGCTCTGCTCGCTTTGCTCGGGTACTGTAGGACCAACCCCAGGTAGCGAGGCCCTTGCCTGCCACTGTGTTACCACATCTGGCTGTGTTACCACATCTGGGAGAGGCTGCCCTGCTGTGCTATGGCACATACACACAACATCTGCATATTGTTACATTAGCCAGAGAACAACCTAGATTTTGCCTGGGTTTGTGCACCTGTATCATGTAAAACGTGACAGACTGTATCTAATCTAACTACCCTTACTGGTACAATAAGCTAGTTAGTTGACCTACTAAGTTTTATTTTATTTGTAGAAAAAATTTTAACCAGCTGAATATTTACAGATAATATTTTGTGTCATGCGGCCGTGGCATTTTTGCTTTAGTACAAAGAGATCTAAAGCCGGATTTGCTGTACTTTGAATAATGACCTAGAATAATATTTCACTAGTATAATTTTTTTTGTTTTCTCTCAATTTCTTATTTGCTGCCCACTGCCTAAGCCCCAGTACACAACTATCTCTTTCCTCAAAGCCTATTCTACAGCTCTCATCCTTATACCGTCTGAGTATTCTACAAACACGGACTAGGTATTCTCATAGCCTTGCATTCATGTGAAATGAAGGGGAAGGATGAAGGCACTGTCTCCATTTTACATTTATTCGTGGTTGTAAATGGTTAGCACGTCTGTAAATCTTATACAAATAGCTTAAGTCAGTGACTTGAAAAACGAGATACACACCAGTGATAATGCAGGAAAAGCATACCTTTAAGTGCCTTAAGATACACTCAGTATCTTAACATCGGTTAAGTACAGCAATTTCTTCCACCCCTCGTTACATTCCTTCTGACCCCTACAACCAAGGCAGCAGTGGTACTGCTCTGCACTCTCCTGTGCACTGAATACAGCATTACTACAGAAAGGGGCCTGCATGGGACAAGGCCATCTTTTCTTGTCTTTCCATTCACAGATTCTACTCTTCCTTTCCAGTTCCCTGTCCTTACACTTACACATTTTCCAGCCCCCTGCTTTCCAAAGCCTTACCTAGGTTTTACGTCAAGCTTGTTTTTTACTTAACAGCAACCTCCACAACAAAACAGTACTCTGTCCCATGATGTATTAGAGCTAATATTACACCAGGGCTTTTATAGTGTTGATGGGTTTTCTCTAAATGCACATGCATTGCAGTTCGAAGTTAATAGCAGCTAAATTAACAGATTGTAGGCTTTACAAAAAGGCTGTCCATTTTACAAGTACATCTCTGCATATCCCCACATCAACTATGCCAATGAGAAAAATGTGCCTTTGGCCTTTCAAGGGCACTTTGCTAAATGATGATCTGCAGCTTCCACTCTACATAATGGTATGAAATCCAAATGGCTGCTGCAATGCTCCATTTTTTGATCAGTAAAATAGCATTTATTTTAGGCCATGGTATGTCTGGATTAGAGAATTTTTTGCTTGGTTTTGATTGGCAGAGCTCAGTCAATGATAGTGAACAGAAGTGAATTGCAATTCTTAGAAGTGTTGTTGAGGGAAAAAGGAAAGGTTAAGCCAGAGGAGAAATAACTGTTAACAGAAAGGAAGAAGCTGGATTTAAGGTCTACTTAAGGGAGCATGCTGTTGCAATATGCCAGGAAAAAGCATTCAAAAGGTGACAACAAAGTTGTTTGTGTAAGGCAGCTGAGAGACCCGAAGTGCAGGGGATTCAATTAAAAATGAAATGAAGACAATCAACCATATATTTTAAGTAGGAGAAAAAATACTGCACGTGAAGCAATGTATTCGGTGAATCAAGGGAGTCCCTGTACACTGAAAAACAGAAAAAGAATTCCATAGTCTTGTTGTTTTCATCTTTGTCCTGAATGACTAGCACCAATAAGCTATTTTAAGCTTATTAAAGCTGCAATCATTTGTCTATACCTGTCCTTAGTGAACCTTTATTTGCAATATGAATTAAAGTAACTTGGTTATTTCATATGGAACATAATCATGAGGTTCAGCACCATGAAAGAAGTCTTACAGTTTAGTAGGCATATATTTAGTAAAAAATAGTATATTATGGAATTTTGCCACTGCTAAATTCAGCCATTAAGTTTGTCTTTGTGAAAGCTTCCATCATTAGGTGGACTGAGCCTTTCTACAAGCTTCACAGCAACTCCCAATTCAACAGATTTCACTGTTAGGCAGATTATTTTTTTTTTTTTTTTGAGGTTGGTGGGAGGGAGGGAAGAGGAATTGGGTAACAGTTGCCTGCCATTAGAAAGTTACTGTTATCCGACATTTATTTATGAGAAATGAGGGAAACTATTCTGCTCTGAAGTTCTCAGCAGCTCTTGATCACTCCTCATGCCATACCACACTAGGGACCAAAGGAAGTGGGAAGAAACCATTCCATTGCTTCTTGGTGGGCCACATGTTTAATATAGTATTGCAAATCCATTTCACTGCCCAGTCAGTTATATCACTGAAAGCAGGAAAAAGTACTAACAGGATGGTAGCCTTACTCTGTTCAAAGTAACAGATTGCTCTTTGGAGATAGCTGCCAGAAAGAATAATAAAAAATATCCAGCCACTATGTACTAGACAGAGAAACCTATTTCTTGCCCAACCCCCTTCTCACCTAGTTTTTGCTATGCCTTTTGGTTTTGACTGTAGAGGAATCCAGTGATGACTGATAAATTCTAAACTGAGAATCTTTACTGGGAAAGAAACACTAGTTTTAACATTTGTTTTCTTGAGCATTTTTACATAAAAAGCTCTAGAGCTTGAAATAACTACAGAAAGTAATAGCCAGAACAATGTTCTGTAATGGAGAATTAAAATTGTTTTTACTCTTTTCACACTAATTTTCCTTAGTGTGGCAACATGGAATAATCTGACTTGTCACTTGCCAACAATCATTAACCCCATCAAACACAGGATTCCACTGCAGTCCAAAAGCCTTCAGACTTTTTTTCTCTACCAATTCTTTGGAAACTTTTCTATAGCCATCGACAACTTAAATGTACTACTCAAGTTCAAGAAATGCTGCACTACTACAGGAAAAATAACATATCAAAAATCTAGCAGCATCCTAGCAAGGCACAGGGCTAGGGAACATGATAAGATAGGAAACCCAAAACTGACAGTCCTTCCAGAACCTGCCATACTTCTAATGTCAGCAGAAGCTTTTCTGTCCAGAAATGGAGCAAGCACAAATGCATAAGCATTGTGGTGTGGTATCCATACACTTTGTCCATTGTCTAACACTAGAATTGCAATTCTAAGTAATCCCAATACTTTTTGATATTTTTTATTCATATATTCTATGCTTTTCAAAACCAGCAGGACCACAACATACATCTCTGACATATCTGAAGAGATGCTTATAAAATCAAGAAAGAATACAACTTCAAAGAGTCTCCTGTCCATATGGGAGTTATTACAAAACAACTGCACCAGCAGTCAGGCTGGCATTTGGCACAGCTTTTTTTTGGAAGGCAGCTCCAACCCTCAAAAATTACCAGCTACTATGTTCAACTTCTTCATTAATTATTCTAGTCTGGCAAAGATGTATTGTTTTTAATGATAAACAAAGAGTTGTGTTTACAGTTATGAACCAACCTGGGTGCTGGTAAGAAAAGGAATCCTCTGTAGATCTTTCTATGGGCTGTTTGTTTTTCATGAATTCCTTCCTGGACTGGAGCAATCTGAGTGACTCATTGTAATGGTGCCTGCATTTAAAATAAAGGCTTCTGTGTGAGGTAATCCTCTCAAAGATGCACAAAGCGATTACCTGGCACTTTCAGATTCAAGAACACAGTCTGCTTTTATGCACTTTGGATTTGAATACAATGTGTTAAGAATTTAGCATATTCATTCTACCATGAGATTAGTATCAGTGTAGTTAACATTTTGCAGAATTCACAAGCAATCTCTGTAATTGCATTCTGGTTTTCAATTCCTTTTTGAAGTTCTACCATTATGGCAATTTTGGTAGCAACTTTACATTTAAAACATGGAGGTTTTTACTTGAAACAGGATTAAATGATGCTTTAATCAATAGATTTACTTTATTAAATACAACCTCTCACAATGATGTTTCTTATATACCCGTATCAACGCAAAGACTGAGTTACATGGTACAGTCTAAATTCAGTACATGTACAAAGCCATAGACAACCCCTTACATGTCTGACCTAAGGAATAAGTTTATAGTTTCTTGATTTGTAAGTACACTCTTTAGCTCATGCAAATACTTCTAGCCACAGGAATAAGTTGTGCAAGTGGCAGGAACCCACACCTAGACAGGCTGCATAACTATCTCCAGTAATTTTGGATGCTGAGATAAATAAAATAAGGTGATGGAGATATGGTAGTAGAGGGTAGGAAGCAGTAGCTTGGCCTGTGCCTTCCTACATTTCTAATTGTAATCCTGTGTTGCTGTAAACAGACCAAGTATAGTCAAGCACACTAACTTTTTATCACAGACTGACATTCTTGGGCCATGATTCAAAAGACAGGAACTCTTGGCAAAGAGCTCACCACAGGACTAATGTTACAAGGACTGCAAAAGCTTAACTGCTTTAAGGTCTGTTCAGCAGGTGTTTCAAGTGCTGGGACAAAGAGGGTTAAATTATTTTAAAGATACACCAAAAAGGACCGACCAATCTGGCCATCTATCAAGCACTTTGAGCTGTGTAAGAAGCTTTGAATAACTATATAATTAAATCACAAGCACAATTCAACGAAAGTTGGGTAAGATAGATCATTGCCAATTCTAAATTATTCACAGTATATCTGCACCACAATCAAATCTACATTACAAGAGGAATGAATATAGTGCTTTGGTTACTGAAAATACTGTTTTCTTGTCTAGGAAAAATATTCAGGAACAGCAGCTAAGTGGAAACTAGCTCTATCATGTTCCCTCCTCTCTAAAAAAAGCCTTGGGATAGTCTCCAAAATTTCCATACTCAACGCAACAGGCAACTAACAGCACCACCACAAGGGGGACATGAGCTTTGCCGCTTAAGATTCTTTTATGTCATAACTATTTGGAAGCCTCTGCAAAACCCACAGATTTTGATGAAATATGACATTTTCATCTCATCCAGGTGAGACAAGTACTGTAGGAAGAGGTCATTCATGTGTCTCAGGACACAATGTTCTACTGCAGTCAAGCGTAGAATTCAAAATATTGATAAGAAGAGACAGTTAAAGTAAAATGTTTTTTGCTTTTGCCTTGCAACAGCAAAATCTCTATTGGTACTAAAGGCTCCTACCTGATGGAGCTTCTAGTGAAGGCAGCAATTGGTTGTTGGTTCTTTGACCAAGAATCTATAGATTAACCTTCAATACTTGTGAAGAAGCAGAACTCCAAAACAAACTATTGCCTGTTTAAGTGTCTTAAGGATCTAGTCCTGAAGCCATCTCTTTTTTTAATATTAAAATACAATATAAAGCCAAAATACCCACATGTGCTGTTTCATCAGAATGCTGCTTTCCCATTCAAGAGACAGGGCTCAACATTAGATTATGGCACTGATTCAACTCATTGATATAGGTCATCATTTGGGAAAAAAAAAACATTTAAGCTCATTTCTCTCCATAACAGGGATCCATTTTAACATTTTTTGAATTTACTTATAAAATTAGAGGTTCACTTTCCAGGCAGACAGGAAGTGTGGCTGTTCATACCACACTGATACTATTTTGCCTGAGCAGAAAATTATCCAGGTTCTATATACTGTACTTCTTATCCTAAATGACTCTGAAGTGGATTTACAATTTACAAACCCAATCTTCCAAGTAGTTAGTTACTTTACTTGGAGCTCTGCAAGATCAGAGCCTTTGTAAGTAAGATCACGTGATCTATAATATTTGTGGCTGCTTCTCAGGAGGAAAATAGTGTTACAAAACTGAAGTTTAGGAGACAAGTCCCATGCCCAAGCAATACTGCAGGACAGACCTTCTGCTGATTTTTCATACTGTAAGTTTGTAGGATATTCTTATGTATGTTTTGTAAAGTAACAGGTCTGGCTTTTAAATGCTTTCACACAGAGCATTTCACATAGAGCTTTCTAGGCAGTTGTTGGAAGGCACATTTTAGAGCCTTAAGCTATAGAAACAACTGTTTCCAGTTAGAAAGTAACCTAGAAAACGTGGATATAAATGAAGTATCATTGATAGTTCTGACAGCACGTTTGCTTTCTTGAAAGACATCCATGAAGTCTTTAACAATATCTGTTGAATTCTGTATCATCTATGTTTCCAAAAGGTGGCTAGCACAAAAAGTTTGTGTTTTCATACCTTGGCCTGAGATGCATTTATTACCATGGCCAACCATATGGGGAAAAAAGGCACATTTCAAGGTCCTTACATCAAGGTACCAGGTTTTGGCTAAATCGTTTCATTTTTCCTTTCAGCACAAAACCACAGCAAAATCAGTGATTTTGAGGAAAACAACAGCAGTTATAGGCTTGGGTTTAACTTGCCATTAGAGTTAATAAGCAAATTCTTCAAGCATGTGTGAACAGATAAACCTGCAGGAATAATAATGCCAACACAGCTAATCTGAAATAGGGATGCTCTTAACGAATAGGCTTCTTTGTAAACCCTCTTACTTTCTGATTAACATCTCTATATTACCTGCTTAGAGACTTAAAACCAAGAGAATAACGTGAGAGTCAAGAATTTTGCTGCAGAATTCTTTCATTGACTACAATTTTGCAAGACCCTTTCTTGGCAGAGGCTTTCCACATGCATCTAACCCCTTAAATGACACAGGTGCAGTACTGTGGAGTATTGCATAGGTCTGGGGAAAACCTATCAGCTTCGCTCTAGGAAAGGAAGGACTCCAGACAGGGAATACTGAAAGTGATGCAAATTTTCATTCCTCACAGATCTAATATTTTATCTCATAGCAGATGATGCCATAAACAGACATGTTCTGCTTTGCTTGGGTGTTTTACAGGAGCGAGTTCTGTGCATTGATCCAGTAGCTTAAAAGATTTTTGGCAATCAGTATCTTTGTAAAGCAAGGAAAAAAGTAATTACCTTAATACTTTTACTGTTTCTGTCCATGTCTTCTGCTCACTCTCCCATGGATCAACTCGAATCCAGTCAGATGTCTCCAGTGCTAGTTTAGCCATTGCTATCCGGTGCCTTGCTGAAACCAAGCCTTTCTTTCCATAGTCATCATTAACCGGAGACATTATGCCTTCAATTACCTGATACCTTCCTTTTGAAAAAAAGAAAAGCCAAAAAGCAAAAATAAGTAATCTTCACAGAATCTTGAGAAGGTGGGCAGGACCTTGGGAGCTCATCTAGTCCAACCTCTTCAAAGCATCGTTAACTTCAAAGTTGCAAGAGTCTATGAACAACCTGATCTAGGTATTACTTTTAATACAGAAACAGCAATTAAAAAAATTAAAAAGCTGCCTTCTTGTTCCTCTGGGAGCTACTCATAATTACTATCAATATGTTTATCCTACAAGATGATTCAAAAAGGGAAGCTAGATGAACATACAGTTTTCAAGTAGAGATGCTTATAATTTATGATGCAAGCTATCAAAATTGCAAGAAATAATTTAAGTTTTATATTCCAGTAAGTACAGCTTTTATACAGCCAGAGCAATAGATGACTTAACTGACCACTGCTTTTTCCTTAAGCATCTGATGCTTGTTTTTTATCAAAATCATTGTGCCTTTTCATTGTGTTAAAGCAAGAATTAACAGCATATTACTGCAGCTGTGATTAATGCGATTCAGACAAATCAAAAAATTCAAGAAAAAGATGGGGCTAATGGAGTCTAAATTGAGACTTACAGCACTATGTCCAAACATAAGCTTAGCAGCCATTAAAGGCCCTTTCTATCTGGCTGATCAGGTTAATTAAATTTGAAAATATGCCCATATTTTTCTACTCCTGTAACATAATGTAATCATTAACACAACAAGCTCTTTTTCTTAGACTTTGCAGTTCTGGCCTCAAAAAAGGAAACAAACATGTACCTCATTTTAATAAATCAATAGGGAAATAAAGCACTGATACTAGCTGCATCCTCAAGAAACAGAGAGGAGATAAAGGGCATTTCAAATAGACAGAAATGAAACAGTTATTTCCAATGTAGCACAACTATGATACTGAAACGGGAAAAAATCCTCTTCCTTTTTTCTAATTCAATTGTTTCAACAACAACTTAAGTTCAGCAAGTTCCCTCTACTGCTTTGCAATGAAAATGATACCCATGGGCTCATAATTTCTGATACTGACATGTGACAATTTCATATTCTAAAATGAAAGTTCAGTAATCTTGTATTTGTTTTTATATAATAGGGTAAAATTTTCGAAAGAACCTAAGCAAGTTGGACTTACAAAAATAGCTTTAAGGTTCAAAGAGAATTACAGGCCTGTCTCCCATTAAAATGTCAGTTCAAACTTGTTTTAAAACAATGTCATCATAGGCAAAATGGTCAATATAGCAAGATAAAATTTTCTGAAACATGCAAAGTTATGTATATAATTAAGTCTATCTCTTGATCGGAAATTGGAAACAATTTCACTTATGAAAATTATTCTCTGGTACTTTGAGATTATACAATGCTATAACAAATTCTCGTCTAAAGGGAAAGAAATTACTGTTTGAATGCATTAATGTGTTACCCTTATGTCATGGTTTAACCCTAGCTGGCAGCCAGGACCATGCAGCTGCTTGAGCAGTTCTTCCCCTAGTAGGGCAGGGAGAAAAGGCAAGGGAAAAGAAAAAACATCGTGGATTGAGATAAAGACAGTTTAATAGAAACAGTAACAGAAAAGAAAAATAGCAATGATAATAATAATAACAATAATAGAAATAACACAAGTCACTCTCACTGCCCAGTGAATTGGCCCTGTCTGGAGCACAGATTGCAGATCCTCCCTTCTGGCTAACCCTGTTTATATACTGAGCATGATGCCTATGGTACAGAATAGTCCATTGACCATTTCATTGTTCTATCTATGCTCCTTTTTTGGGTGCTGCTTTATTTCACTCCTTTTCCAAGATGCTACTAAGTATTACAAAATAGTACTGATTTAGCATAAATAAAGTTTCCAGAAACTGTACTACTTGCTATAGTAAGCCTCTTTTGCATTTCTATCACAATGGAGAATTAGGCACATGCATTTATCCAGCCTGATTCTTTATACCAAAGTAACTATCCCAAGAAGTATCTTCTAGATTTACAGCAAGTCACTACAAACAGGCAGTACCAATGCACATTAGTCATAATTAACAACAGTATCAAGAGATGCACATTTCACAGTAAGTTTACTGTGTAGGAGATTTTATAGTTGTGTATGACTGAAAACAGCAGATGAGCCAACACACTTATTTTAACATAGTTTGGTACCTTCCTTTTAAAACTCCAGAGCTTTAAAAGTTTCACTAACGTAGGCTTATGTAAAAATATTACAGATGAATGCAAAGCTCATCTCTAGGTTACAACTCAACTCCTTATCATTCAGCATTCACCTGACCCAATTTATACTTCATAATAGAAAAAAAAAACCCACAGAGTTAAACTTGCTGGTAGCTTCTATGACATCAATTAAATGTGACATCAACTCAAATATGCAAAATTTCCCTTTCTGCATATATTGACATTAAAGACCATACAGGTCTCATACACTAGGAAAAAAGACCTCACCCTCTCCCAAAACCACACCCAAACACCAAAAAAACCCCCAAACCAAAAAAACCCAGACAAAAAAGAAAAAAGCATCCAACCAAAACCACCCCAAAGCCCAAACATCAAAAAAACCCAAACCCCAAAGATCCAAACCCCCCAAAACCTCCACTAAGCCAAATATATAAAAAAAATCCCCACTAAAAACCAAACACCAAAAAGCCTTCCTGAAAACCACACACACCTTAATCAAGATGACAGTTTTTAACTGATCACCTACTTAAAGTCTCTGTTCTTTATCTCCAGTCTGTAAGTGCGATCCCAAGAAAATTCTCCAGCCTTTAAGTTTTTTTTCCTGGAGACTGCCCCCATTTCCTTTTGAGCACTGGACAAGGGACTGACTTCTACATATTACTGCAAGAATGTCAACAACTGCAGGACACAGGATTGGAAATTTTTGGTTTGGGTTTTGGAAGGTTTGTCCAGGAATAAACACTTACTCTGCTTCATTAAGCCTGTTCTAGAGGCATAAAGTTACCTACACACCTAAGATTTAACAATACAAGTAAAACAAATAGTTTAAATTTTACTGCATAGTAAATACGCAACATCAAATGCATAAATAAAAAAATAAATTACTTGATGGCCAAGGAGCCAGTCCTCTTTTGTGAAGAAAGTGGCAGCTATTTCAAAACCTAAAATAAGGGGGATGGACTAGATGATATCCGAAGATCCCTTCCAACCCTTACAATTCTGTAATTCCTTGATATAAAACTTGCTATCAGAAGTGAACCATGTTGGAAAATAGTAACAATACAATCTCCTGTTCTGAACATATAAGCAGCAACAAGACCTTATATTAATGTAAGTTTTCATTTCTTCACTGAAACAATCACTGGCACACTTGCTTTTACAGATATAGTTAGTTAATTTGATTATTTAAGATTTTTTTAATCAGCCTTCTAGTGTGACTACACATACATTAAAAATCACATGATAAAACTTTGCATTGAAGTAATAATAATGGTTTCCCTTGAACCCACAACAAATCAACAGCTATCCTCCCAGAACTCTCAGCCTACTAATGCTAGGAAAAGAAACACAAGGATTTTTCATTGTTCCATTTAAACAAAAATATTAATTTTATTTATAGGTTATAATTAACTGGGGTGGAGGAAGGGATATCTAACATTCTTGTTTGGGTTAAATATCAAAAGGATACCATCCTATGCTTACCTTCCCACAACATGTATGTAGAGATTGCCAAGCATGAAAAAGGAAAATAGGCAAGACTTTTTTTACTTCATGTTCAGTCACCTTCTGTGAAGGGAATTCAACAGAAGGAAAATCAAAGGGATGGACAACTCAGCAGTCATTGCACTGAAAGTCAACATGAACAACAAATACAGAGCAGTAATGGACAATCTTTCAGGATAGCTCTCCATAGGATGGATGACACCACCTTCTCCACTTTAGAGTACTTGAAAGATGCATTCACTGAATTAGATGAGGTGCACAAAAATTGTAGTGACAGATGCCATACGAGTATCTAGACAAACATAAATCATGTCTGCCTCTTTGAGTGAACTACAAGGCCTAAAGAAGCAGATTTTCCTCTGTAGTCAGCCAGCCACTTAAATACACTGTAACTTCAGGAACTCCTCCAACAGCTGAATAACTGAACATGCACAATGATCAGTCCTCAAATGGTGAATGATCTCCATGCATTGCATCAATAATAAACATTTCCTATCAAGACCTCAAAATACAACTTCACTTCTATAGAGTCCACTGGATTCATACAAAAAGAAGGAAAGACAGTATCTTGATAGCTATGAAAATGAGCATTTCCTTGAGAAAGGCAGGATAAAACCACCATCTTTAAAGTAACAATGTGAATAATGAACTAGAGTAGCTCTACCCACAAGACACCTTATTCTGAAATTCTCTCAATGAAACTGACTTCTGCCATGTAACATGCCTGGGCAGCAATGGTTCTGAAGATGCTACAAAACAGATGACTAGGATTCCAAAGTCAAATACAGGGCATAACCCAAATAGCACTGCAAGCAGGGGACACCCACTCCTTATTCTGATGGGTTTTAAGAGTAACACAACAAAACCTGTGGAACAGAAACCTACACTTCAACTTCAAAAAGCATTCCTTAAATTCAGAAGAAGGTTAGGACCAAAACTCTCTGCACTCATAACAGTAAACTGAATTTTTACATTACAGAATATTTTCTTTAGGGATGTGGTATGTCTTGCGATGTCTTAAGATTTATGCCTTTGCTGCTTTGATTTGCAGCTCTGCAAAGCACATTCTAGAGCTTTAATTCTTTCTGAACGCTAAGCCACAGGCACATCCCTCTTCTTGCATCTTTCAAGGGTAAAGCCTAATACAATTAACCAAGTACTGCTCTATTAAGCAAACACTGCTGTAAATCTTGTAATGAAAAAATATATCAAAGATTTGTTTCCTTTTCATTTGTTAAGTTCAGTTAATCTTAACTAGTGTCTGACAATATTTATTGTTTATATAGTGAGGAACTAGATCTGATCCAATCCTACACCAATCATGTATCTATATTGCTATACACACTATCAAAACAGTAGGATCAAACTGGGGTTGTTTGTGTTGTTTTCAAATTCCAGTTATGAGAACTGTTGCAGGAAAACAAGCTAAGTCTACATTTATGCTGACTTACTGCTGTTATGAGCTGTTCCTTTCTTAAAATATCAGCCCATTTTAAATAGATGCAGTCCTTGAACAACTAAAATTCCAAATTCCCAAGGCTGGTTAGTGACTAATTATGCCTTGGACTTCTCAGCTCTGCTGCCCAGCAGTGCATCTGACAACCCATTGATCGTGTCACATTTTTCTCAAGTTTTCATACGGTGGTAACTCATTGTCCTTCACCTCCCATTCCTCTGTCTTGTCACAGATAGAAACATCTTGGCTTTCATACCCCTCTCCTTTGCCCTCTATCCCTTTTGGTCTTATCTGGGAACTTGGTGATATAAGTATCCTCCATGCATAATACTTGGAAAGCAAGGTTTTAAACATCTTACACAGATTGACGCTAGTACTATTTCTTTGGACTTTATGGTCAAATGAGAAATAAAGAGAAATAGAAGCATCTGGCATTAAGTAGATGATAGACTAGATTGACAGACTAGAAAGGCATTTCCCACAGTCAGTGCAAGTTTCAAGAAAGTTTTAAAACAAGGGATGGAATCTGAGAAAATTATAGCTATGTGTGAGAATGTATAAAGAGTCAAATTCACATGAAGACACACAAAATCCAGATAAAGAAAATGATTAGAGTTACTCAGTCACACGTAGCTATGTCTGTTGTATTTAAAAGGCAGCAAGACAGGATTTGTCAAGTGATATTAACAGAAAAAGGATTAATTACTTGATGTGTGACAATGAAACTGCAGATACTGCTTAAAGTATCAGAATCTCAATAAAATTCCCAACTTATAATAGGGATGTATGAAAAATAAGATTAGACAGCATTTGAAACTCAAGTGATGTGCAAAAAAGCTGGCAGACAGAATTACTGGCAATGTCAGTCAGGATGAACATCAGGGATAGCCATGTCATTTCTAACAGTAAAACCCAACTGTGAAGTCAGCTCCAGCCAAGCTATTGCACAACTCACCGTTTCTTCCCAATTGGTGATTGAGCAGAAATTCTGAAGTAGCACCAAAAGTAATTCTCACAGCCTCAGAAACACCACTCCTCATGCTAGTTAATTCTTCACTCATTCTAGTTACCTTTTCAGGCATTCAATGTGTATGTTAGCTTGGAAGTGCATTTTTCTTACTGAGAAGGGAATCAATGTGAAGACAGCAGACTGCTAACTCACTTCAAACAAGCTTTAGTTATGTATAACCCACCGTTCTCCAGCCCCACTATCAGCTCCCAGTCTGCAACTCATGCTTCTTAGCAAATAAGCTCCAATTCATCCTCTGCTTCCCTGGCTAACTGCAGAAGTAGAAACAGCACTAAAGACAGAGAATGACAAACTAATTTCCTGAGTGGGAATGGCTCTGCTATAAAACAGGCTTCCAGAATTGATCATTTTTATAACATGTTGCCAACCCCTTTTAAGAAACTGTCTTCACCATAGCAAGAAAGACCACATACCAGATCTGTGTATCCATACATATAAACACATATCTAAATTTACAGTTACTTCAAATAAAGCTACCTCTTCTTGGGGTGGGTAGAGCTTCCACAAGCTAACTGAGGATTCTTACCTTGCAGACTTCCTGGGCTATGCACTCAGAAAACACAGTGATGACACCCAGACACAAATGAAGTCCCCATCTTTAATGCATTAATTACTTCTACTAGTAAGACTCCCCACATTAAACTGGCAAGTCAAAAGACAAGTCATACCCTATCCAGAACTAAGCACTGATATTAGAGAGCTGCAATGTAATGCACAACTTTCATTTCCACCTTTCAAAATTTAATTTTTAATATGTTTTTCACTAGACTTGTTTAAACAAACTGCTCTAAGTAAGGGGTGGAGTCTTTTTACACAGACTCTGGAGCAGCACAGACAATGAATTGTGATTCAGAGAGAATCATAATTCATTTCCCAGTTTTCATCTTTTTTCAAGATAAAGAAGTTACTGGACTATAACACATGGCTTAAACAAAATTACCAATTAGTCTCACATTACCTTTCTACTCCTTGCACACCTGTGTAGCAGAAGCACTTATAAAATTACAGTGAGATTATCCAATTCAAATAGCTTTTTAACCCTTTATTTCTAGTCCCGCGGGAGCAACAAAATCATTTTACAGTTGCAGGACTACAGAGACTTGTAGAGGCAGCTCTCAGAGCCAGTTGTGTAATTCCTCCTCATGAAAGTCAATGTGTTCCCACACTATATGGCGAGCGTGCAGTTGCTGCTTTTACTGCAGTTACGAGACTCACTCCCCCCTCCCCACAATTTGACAGCCAAACTCCTTTTACTACTATTTTCTGTTCAGGTTTCTACTGAGCCACTTCTGGAGGAACTTCTGTCAGATTCCAATAAACTATGATTCCCTTCCAACCTCTTCCAGAAACATACGTGTATATTTTAGCTGCCAGATGGGGGAAAAAAAAAGCCTCAGCAACTAAGTAGTTCACCAAGCTTAAGAGTTCAATGCTTCTCAGTGGCTTTTCTGATTCTTGCTTAAGTTCCTGATGTTACTCACACTTCTCCTTTGTTGCCAAAATCTTCTAGTCTGCCAATATCTAGCTTTTCTGATCTCCTTAATGAACAAATTATTTTGCTAGGAGAGATATCTTGTACCTCTTAGTGAAAATAGCTAACGAATAATTAACACTTCATCTTTTCTCCAGTGTCACCTGGCTGTTAAACTGCTAATTTAACACTTCTTCATATTAAAACATAATGTATCATAAAAACATGGAATTTGAATATGTTTCTTCTCAGGTTCAAAATTGTTAAGCATACTCTTTCACAAGGCTCAGTCCATTCCATGAATATGATCCTAGAACTGTAAATAAAACCTTTGCTTTATTTCCATGAACACTCATTATGATACCTGTTTATGTTATGAGCCAAAGGAAGAGGTAATACTAGACTTTCTATATTGAGTCTGACATGAAAACCTCATATTGAACGATCAATAAAGAAAATTAAAATTAAGCCAGCTCCTTGAGTCTGACATGAAAACCTCATATTGAACAATCAATGAAGATTAAAATTAAGCCAGCTCTAGAGTCACAGCTTATCTATAGCAAGTGCTAAAAATCTTTCTTACTTTTCACAGTAAACCACCATGTGTGTGACGCTAACGACACCTTACTGACCTGTTTGGTGCAGGTGGTCTCTAGCCAGCTCAAATAAACGCATATGCATGTTTGTGATGGGGTTAAAGGAGCCACAAGCTAGAAGAATGAGAGGTATCCTGCTCTTCATTCTGACATCAAAACATTAAAACTCCCCCCTAAAGGAAAAAAAAATTAAAATAAAAGAAAAAAATTAAAGACAAACTTCACAAAGAACAGTCTACCCATTGTTCCTCAAAATAAAAGGAGCACTGTTTTCAAAACTGCATATTCCTGGAACACTAGTAAAAGTATCAGAAGATCAGGCCTCTGTATCATCACAGCACACAGGAAGCAATAGCTCAGAAACACATGTTCTTTGCTATTATTAGCATAACAAAATTCTGTTTGCTCATATACATAGACGGCTAGAAAGCATTTCTAGAAATTCATGTTGTCACTATTATTAAAAAATCTGACAGATTTTAATATGTTTTTTATTTTTAACCTGCCTTTGTCAGAAAACAAGGTTTTTTTCTGTCTTTGTCAACACACTATTAATAACTTTGGAGCCTGTAGGCCAGCTACAAAAGCAGATTATTTTTTTTTTTAAATAAGTTCCTGTGCTCTGTTTAGCTAAATCCTATTCTCCATTTGCAGTGTAGCAAACCGCTGTAGATCAGAGCATACCTGTCACTGTTCCAAGTCCTTATATTCCCTTATATTTCTTCCACTTCTCTTACTTAGAAAAAATTAAGAGTAACAGTTAAATCATTATAAAGTTGATGTTTTATAGCTGCCAACTCTATCAGTTCATTTACAGAGGCTTTTTTCATTTACAGCTGTAGGAACCACATTCAACAGCACTCCCTCTTTACTCTGCTTTACTATCCCTATAGAGAAGCTAACAAACTCATACAAGAAAATCTGTATGCAAACTTTACAGGTTCTTTATTCAGAAAAATCAAGCTCAGGGTGTTTTTCTGTTCAATATCAGCAATTCTGTAAATGTCTTTTCATTGCATAGGTAAAGGTCTTTTTGCCTTGAAACAGGTAGCAAAACATTATTATCTGTGATTAACTGAGAAAGAAATAATTATTAGGTGGTGTCAGTGTTCTTTTGTAGTCCCAACTTTTTGCTAGATTCTATTCCCACAGATAGTCAATGCTGAACTCTCAATGATAAATCAATTCATTCCAGACTAAGAACTTCCTAGAAGCAGAACCATTTTACAGTAATAACTACGATGCTGCTGCTCAGCATCCAGCCCTGCAAACAGGCTTATCACAATCTTATATGACCACCTAAAATCAATGACATGGCCACATAACTTTACCCAACTGCCAAGCTATCAGTCAGCACCTCACTCAAACACACACATGTTCAGGGGGAAAAACATATCCCTTCTTCCCTGTGACATGTATCAATAGCAGCTCTAGCTCTTACATCTGCTACTTGATGGCTCTGATATCCTCTTTTCTGTTCTGATTAAGTGCAGTTTACATTTCCTTTCCTTTTTTTTTTCCTTTTCTTTGCTATCTTAAAAGTTATTAACTGAACAATTTCTTTTCTTTTTTTTAAAAGAAGCATTTATTTCCATAGACTTCTCCGTTTCTCACCTGAAACAGATGTGTTGGATGATTTGATCGCAGCTCTTACTCATTTATACCTCGGAGACTCTAGGGAAAGCCTTCACCCTGTAATTCTTAATGATAAACAGACAGTACTGCTCAAAACTCAAACCAAAACAACAAAGGACAAAAAGGAAAAAAAAATTCAAACCAAGAATGTAGTAACATTAAACATGTAGAGAAGAGGCATTTCAAAAGACGTTTTTATACATATATACCCCGACACACATACCATACATTAAAAAAATAATATATGTAAATAAAAAAAATCAAAGTATCAGCATTTTTATTCCTACTATCCCCTATATAGGGTATCCTAAGCTTATTCAACAGGTATAGTACAACTTTTAATAGTTCAAACAAACTTTCTGATTCAGCCACTATCTCGGCTCTTATTACCTAAGTTTTAAAGTCATTAGACCATCACCGAAAATAACAGGAAAAAAGAGCTTCAGCTAATCTCTCTTAAAAGATCAGAGGAGAAAACTTTAAACACAGAAATTTAAACCTAAAAGAGGAGAAAGTCTCTTCACTTTATGTGATGCAGTGGCAGTCACACTTCCTTTAAGTGCTACAGCATCCCAGGGTCCCTACAATGACAAGCCTCATTCATAAAATGTATAGTAAGATTTTATTTTGATTAGGTATTCACCATCTGGCAAACCAGTTTCAAATCCTCAGTTTCTTGAGAGAAGGGGTAGAAAGTCAGTGAAAAGTTACATTTGTACTGAGGCTTTCGCACTCCTGTATAACTACTGTAGCTCTGAAACTATCTTTATATGATTGATTTCCTGCTGCCTTGCTTAAAACTGGCAAGATTTTAGCAGAGTCAGCTCTGCTATTCAATGTTTGCTGCATCAGGACCATGTCTGTGTGTGCACCTCAAAGGAGCAAATTCAAAGCACCTAAATTCCCACTAGGAAAAAAACCCCTGTATTTCAGAATTCTAAAGAAAATGCTCAGCGTGTTAGTGCAGAAAGTTTTTTTAAAGCAAGAGACGCAGATGCTAACTGAGCTATGAAAGCTTCTTTTGATTGATGAGATTAATATTTGAAATAATTGCCTATGATAGCGAGACTGCACCTTCTACTTTCAACTAGTTGAAAAGCATTTGCCAGAAACCTTGGGAGCAAGTCAATTAACACCAGTATGATCGAGCAGTACTAGTAAGTTTTGTATGTTTAAGAGTATAAAACTTGACTTAATTTTAAAAATATAATTCTGGTTTTCAAAAGAAACAACCATGTTTCATTTTTCCATGAAGTAGTCAGTACTTTTTATCTTTTGTCATCTTTGCTGTCTGTCTTCAAAAGTCATAAATAATGGAAGCAAGAGAAAACACAGCGCTGACAAGAGACTGTGAAGGTTTGCTGCTTTGGAATATTATAGGAACTTACTTTTAGTGACAAAAGAAAGGATGTAAAGAATAAGATTTAAAGAGACAAGGTATGTTCCCATTTCATACAATAACTGTGTATGGCTCCTTCTGGTGAGCGCTTCTGAGTCTGTGGGCTCTGCCCTGGGCAGATGTACCAACAGCCTTGGCCAAGCAGGTACCGTCTTATAAATGCTAGTTATCTTACACATGAGTGCCTGCCGTTTAGAAGCTTTCAACAATGTGGTACATCATATGGCTATACATACAAGTGCAGATACCTTCAAATGAGGAGGTCACACTTAAGCTATATAATAAAAAGTTTTATGATGGAAAAATCATTATAATTTTCATTAGAAAATTCCAGCAAGTTCTTTTTCTATTGCCTATATTCCTACAATATGTCAATAATAGATGACATTATAGATGACCACCGTTAAGTTCTGCTGAAAGTCAGTAATTAGAGCCATATCTGATTAATTATCAGAAGCACAATGGACTGCTGAGCAGTGCAGTCTCATTCATGAGCTGTTAAATTAGTAAACTGGAGGACAAGACACTGATACGTGCACACTATGAGGCAGACTCACCCTTGAGGTAAAATTTCTGCAAAAAGCAGAAATAAACTGAATCCTAGCACAGAATAAAAGCGTTATCCCCTCCTGTGAGGGTGAATCTAGACTAATTTAGATGAAATTTTGATTAGAACAAGTTCAAAGCCGCCCACATCCACTCTTCTTCTTGGCCACATCATTAGCTCCTGTAAATTCATGCAGCTGCACTGAGCCCAGTGGAGTTACACCAGTTAACATTAAGGATGTTATGATCGCAAGACACCTTTTCAAAGTCAGAAAAGTCCATTTTTGTAGCTAACCCAAATCATAGCAAACCACAGTACACAAATATCCCTCGAAAATATTACTGGATATCAGATTTTTCTCATGCTGTTCCTAATGGAAGTCATTGCCATAACAAAAGTTACACCAGTCAGTAAGTTCCCAGCATGTGCTGTCACTGAAATCAATCCTCCACAACAGTGACAAATATTTACCTGTATATCCCCACCTTCCACTCATAATGAACATAACAAAATCTGGGTAAGAGAAGAAATGAAAAATGTATAAACTAGGGTGATATTTTATTTGCTCATCAGAAAGTTACTCACCCCAGCCAAGAAGAATTTTACAAGGTGCACATAAATATTACACATAGCCTAATATGACACTCTAATCCTCTAAAATAGCTTTTTCAGGGCCACATGATGGATCGTATTATTGTTAAATTCCAGTGACTCAGGTGCATTTCATTTCTTTGACTTTCATTGGAAAGCCATTAACAAAGTGTATGATAGGATATAAAGTCTTGTATCAGATTCAGCTTATCAGGAGTATGAAGTTGCCCCTCCCAATCCCCACACCAGACTTTTAGACAGAAAATGCAAGTCCCATTGCAGTTTCTAAAATAGCTTCAAAGGAACTCACAAACTTGATGACCTTCAGTCTTGTTGCTATTTTCAATAGAGCAGCAGTTTATATAACCTTATAAAAATCATTTGGGCTATTTTATATGTTTCTGTGAAAATGTCCCAAAGCACAAGAAATATTGTCTTTAATAACACATAAGGTTCTTTTGCTTAACATAGAATATCAGCTTTATTTTGGGGTACTCGTCATTTTCTTCAGCTTTGTCCAGGCAGCAATTTTCCCAGCAAATGGTAGTGACCAAAAAGCTATCCACAGACAAGTCACCTCACAGAAAACTGCAATGTATCTGTGGCCCAAATTCCAAGTCCCTTGGCATCTAACAGAGAAAGCAGCCTCAGCAGAATTGTCTCTTCGTCTCCTGAGATTAGAATCCTTCAGATCACAGCACAATACTTCACTCTTGCAATTTCTTTATTCCAGACTATAGCAGTGGGAAATTATCTTCCACAGTTCTGAAATCAACTTAAACATGATTTACACTTGTTTTGTCCTTTTAATGATTTTTTCCCTTCCAAATAAAAGCTAGTTCTGTTTTTAATCTTCACTCACAACCATTTGTGCTCCATTGCTAAAAAGAAACTGCAGTTGAAAGGCACTAAACAAGAAGATTCACCATAAAAAGCACACATGGATAAATCATGAAAAGTGTAAATAATAAAATGACCACAAAACATATATTCTGCAACATATGCTAAAAATTAATCTCCAGTTAATAATGAATACAGTAGCGCCTTAAATGATTTTTCAAGTGCAAAAAATTTGAGCAGAATAGTTCCTTAGCACAACCTTAAAGAAAAAAAGATACTCTCAATACACACATAACAGTGCCAGTGAATTCAAGTCAACTACAACATAACTGTTGCAGGTTTGTAAAGAGAATTACACAGTGGGACACAAGTGTCTGTCTGGTTCCCAGTGTCTACCTGATAAAGTCTCCACAGAAATCCTCCCAAGATAGTATTCTGTAGGATATATTTTTCTCAATATTCTTAATCTGGACCCTCATCCTGCAAAATAAACCCATTTACAGGCTGCCTATTACCTGAACAGCAGTATGGAATTCAACAACCACTGTTCATGCACATCAACAGTAAACTCCCATGTAGTTAACATGCATAAGGTTTACTAAATATTTTGAGGCTGTCAGATTTATCTGTTGTCTTTCAAGTAAAAATGCAAAGACAAACCACAACATAACGCTCTTTATGTTCTTTCTTTATATTCTCAGGGCAAATCATGGAGTAACCCCAATTTTTTAAAAAAAAAAAAAAAAGGTATTATTTCATTCTACCTGCCCCTAATACACTCAGCAACGCTCAGAAAGAGAGCTCCAGTAGTTTCATCTAGTTAGAAAGCCAATGTTAATTGGAAAGAAAGTTAAAAAGGACCAAGTTGGCAAATTACACACGTTCAGAGATCACTGGGTAATGCAGGATCTCAGCAAGCTTTATGTAACAGCAGTCCCTGCACCTTTGTTGTAGCATTTCAACAAGGTCTAAAGAATACAATCAGGTCCTGGCATCTTCTTGTATTCACTGCATTATGATCTTTATATTCACTTATCCAATAATCCCTAGTGATCTCTCAACATTTAACACTCATCTCCTTGCCTATTCCTTGTCCCCTTATCACACTAATAAATAAGCTTCTTTTTCTACAGTTGTATAAACTGTTTTAAGTAACCAATAGTCATCCTTCCATTTGCATGTACAAGTCAGTCATCCACAAAGACTAATATATTGATTTCTAGAAATAGAGGATACATGCAGAACTGCAACCTAGGATGGCCATTTTTAAACAAACTGCTGATTTAGTGAAAGTACCAACTTGTCTGTCAAAGAGACCTCCTACTAAAACTTCAAGAGTTCCTTTTGAGAAGCCATTCAGAATGATTTTTCTTCTGTCAACTTCTCCAGTTTCCTTAAAGTTAGCAAAATACATTTAGCAGAACCTGAGGCAAATCTAGTAATAGACATACAGCTTGCACACAAATGGTAGATCTAAGTGGTAAAGAAAGCATCTTCAATCGCTAAAATCTGTTCTTATAAAGCTGGCTTTAAAAAGATAGCAAACTAATGAAACCCCTAGAAGTACTACTGCAGAACACTCACATGCAAAATAATCATATATAGCAACCACAGGCTAATGCAGGATTTCCAGAACATCCACCAAGACTAAAGTTAAAGTGTCAACATCCATAATCCCACTCTTTCCTATTTCAAAAAAGGGCTATTTGTTATCTACTGTGTTAGGAAAAATTAACTCCTGATGCTGTTTCTGTAGTTAGGAAAGAACACCTCACTGGCCCTACAGTTACGTGGAAGGGGTCTTCTAGCAAGTAAAGTATTCAAATAAAATTAAAAACTTGATTAAGGTGGCTGTCTTCCCATGCTTCAAAGTTTACCTGACCACCTCCAGGGAGCAAGAGGAATTCTTCTACAACATATAGAACTGCTCAGTTTGTTAAGTGCATGATAGGTCTTCCCATTTTCCTCTGAAATTTCAGCTATTAGTTACTGCCTGAAGCAACAAACAACTCAACAGCTGAGGTTAATAACGCATATATAAAGCTGCTCTTAGAAACAACATGCCCTCCTGCACCAATTCAGTAGCATCCAGGTGTTCCTAAGTGTAGCAAACTCGACAGTGAGAAGGCTATTTGCATTTACATTTTTAAGCCATCAAAATGAAAAGCATTATGTGCATTTCTTACACTAATATATGAATTTGCCTAGGAGCACTGAGGATTTTGCATAGCAATGAGGCAGCTGAAGTGAATGGCTCCTAGGCTCAAGAATTCACATTGCTTGTTATCTTTATATTTTAATTACAAGATTAATTTAGAATTTCTACTTGCTTCATCTTGTAGAACAGAAGAATTCAAGGAAATTACATAAACATATATGTGCCCTGCCTGTTGTCCACAATCTTTTGCTTGCTCTTGAAGAATATCTCCTCTGTTCAGGTAGCTCTATCTACCCAAAGAAAAAGAAATGAGATGCTAAATCAACTACAGTGAAATTAAGTACCTAATTACAACTGCAATCACATTGCAACTATCACACTAGATGTTTATAAGTTATTATAAAACTGAAATAAACATTAATAACCATACAGTTATACCATGTTCAAAACTTTGACTGCACCTCCTCTGGTTTTTGGTGACAGCCAATACAACCAAATGCTGGCATCAAGAGAGGCAAAAAACCATCTGGGATTGTTTGGTTTGGAGAGGAGGAGCTTGGGGGAGGCTACAGCTGAGCTTGACAAAATGATAAAGGCACTAGATAAACTGAATGCAAACTTCTCCTTGCAATTCTAGATGTAGGGAGCAGTCAGTGAAAGCAATAAATTTTTTTTTACAATAGGTGAAAGCATACACTAGGAAGATAAATACATGGTGTCCCTAATGAAGCAGCTGTGACTGGTGGCAGGGAATACTGGGGGAAGCAAGTGGCCAGGTTAGCTTCTCTTAATTGCATCTCCTTTTTTCCATTGCCCAAGACAGATAGCTGTGCTGGACTGGCCACCAGTCTGACACAGTATGGCATTTCTTGTGGTTCTTAACATCTCCGTTATACTTTGTAAGCCCATATGGATGGCTCATTTCTCTGTTTCTTCTCATTAAGAAAAATACAGAATGCTTGGTGGGCTGAGGTGCTTCTATACCATTTTTTTGAGTGGTGCATTGCACTAAACAACAACATGGGGGGAAAAAAAACACAGTTGTGAAGGTGGCTCTTGCCATGCAGGCAGCCCTCCTTCAGGGCAATGACACCCTGCCATGGACAGGGTTAACAGCTTCACCCAACACATTTCATCTGCTGCACCACCTGCAGCAGGAGCTACTGACACATTTTATGAATTAAGAGCTTAGAAATCATCACTGCAATGAAATGTGATTTGTCTCATTAGTATATTTTAAAAGGCAGAACCTCAAATGGCTCAAATTCCCCTTCAATAGGACTCTCACTTGTTGTAGGCTCAGCCTTTGAGATTCTCAAAGGTCTTTTAGAGCATCTAAACAGTAATTAGCTTATCCTAGCTAAATTCTTCAATTTGCTTTTCTGAAGTTAAAGGCATGAAGCTAATTTATTGCTACAATCAAACAATATAACTAGACTTAACTAGCAAATAATGCCTGAAAAATGAACTACCGGCACATATTGTATTGCTACAAAGCTTAAAGAAAACAAACATCAGGGATCATTTATAAAACCAAACAACAGCTGTTGCACAAGGGGAGAAACAACCTCTTCAAGCGCAGGAGAAAGATGAGTAAATTACACCATGAAAGCCAGGTAGATAAAAAAAAGTAGCGATATATCCTCCTGTTTTCTTTAACTCTGACAGCTGAGGAGTTCTGGGGAAAGAAAGAAAAAAGTAAAGATTTAATTTGCTGTTTTAAATATATATATATATGGTTCTGGGTGTGCGATTTTGACATGGAGAGCACGACTCCGGTCCCAGCAGGTTTATCACAGCCTGGGGACAGCCCGGCCCGGCTGCCACGGCCGCCAGCAGCTCCCCGGCCGGCGCCTTCCCCCGCTCCAGCCCGTGCGGTGACACCGCGCACCCAGCCACCACCCGTCCCCTCGCCAGGGGCCCACCTCGGGGGTCCCCCGTCCCTCTCCTCCGGGTACGCGGGCGGGCACCGCCGCCGAGCTACGGCCCGGCCTTGGCGGTGCAGGCCGCCGCCAGGCTCAGGCCCTGTCGGGGAGGCAGCGCCGAGCCACAGGCCCAGCGGCGCCGCCGGCCCGCCGCGCTCCGCCTCCCCGCCAGTCCCGGCTACCCGCCCGGGGTCAAAGCCCGGCGGCGGGAGGGCCTCACCCGGCCTGGCCCGCAGGGACGGACGGCGCCAGCCCAGCTCCATGTCTCAACACGGGGAGGGACGGGCCGCCGCGGCGCTCGGGCAAGCCGCCACCCCGCCGCTGCCTCCTCCCCTTCCTCCCTCCCGCCTTACCGGGGCCGGGGCAGCCGCTGCCGGGTCCCTGCGGGACAAGCCCGAGTAGCGCTGCGGTTGCCTCCCTCTTGCCCCCTTCGGCGGCGGTCGCTCCGCACTGCCACCTACTCCCGCCGGGGCTGCGCTGGGGGCAGCGCTGTTAAGGCGTCCTCCTCTTGTTAGAGGCAGAGGACTTGATGTTTAAACTCTTTCACCTGAACGGGATGCTTCAAACTTTCGCCTTCCCGCTGTTATTTATGCTTTTAAGGACGGGCCCTGCGGCGCCAGGGTTGCACCTGCAGGATGGCGAGGTCCGTTTGCAACCGGGAAGAGTTTGTGAGTCCAGAGGCTTGGAATAACGAAGCTCAGCTGTGTCTGATGACTAAACTCATTGTCACCTTCTCCATCAGCTATTGAATACACAAATGTCATAAAGTTTATGTTAAAGAGATTCTAGCAGAAAGTGAAGTCCAGAGAGTGTTAAGTCACTTACTTATTCTCTTTAATTCTTGGGCATGTAAAATGCAGTTTCTTGAGATGTCAGAGTGTCACCAACTAGTTTTAGAATCTACCCAAACCCTCCTATTTTTTTATAAAGGGAAGGACAACTATTCTTCTTGCCTGACATTGTGGTAAAAAATAAATAGGATGGTGGATTGTATTTTTAAGCTTTACTGTGTGAAATGCAGATGCAAATGATAAAACTTCACTGCTGCATGGAGGCCATGAGCAAAGCCAAGAGCCTTCAGACCTTTGGCTGGCCTTGCCAAAGGCTGACCAAGGGATGGTTTCAGCATCGTTTTTTCAGGTCTTTGGCTTGTGACTGGGAGCAGGTTACATATGTTTTAGGCATAACTTTAGAAAGTCTGAAATCATAACTTAGACTCCCAAGACAAGGTATAATCTTAAAGAAAAAAGATCCAGATAAGTATATAAGGTATCATGTCTTCTGGTTTTGGATCTTCCTCCCTAATGGTAAATTTCTCACACAAGCAGATAATCCCTGGAGCTGATACTTTAGGATGATGGCAGCGGCAGTGGGGGCAGTGCTGCAATTGTTGTTTGCCTGTGTGTGGCTGTGTAGTTCTCCGTGACATTTGCTTGCTCTTAACTCATCCCATCCTGTTCCTATGAAGTTTCATTTTAGAATACAATTTATAATTTAAGATGTTAGGGGAATGCTATTGTTAGTGATGGAGTGGGTTTTTTTGTGGTTTAATACAGGAAAAATGTTGGACAAAAAGACTACACAAACAATTTCTTACATATTAACAGCTTAGACTATAGGTGCTCAGGCTTTAAAATCCTATGGGGTTATATAATGATGAAAAGCCAGAGAAATAATCTTTGTTATCAAGGGTTCAACAACATTATAGAAACAATTGTTCCCCCAACTCCCTTCAAGAGATAAAAGTCCATTTTAAAAAACTTTATGAAGCTGGCATCCTAGTGTATAATGGATCATTTATTTTTGGCTGACCAGAATAATAAACATATAAAGCTTATTCTGAAAAGGGATAGCTAGAATTAAAGCCTCCTCTTTGTAGATTTTGAATTACCACTGTGTTTTGGGAATAAGTAGGATTCCCTATAAAAGGGAAACATTGTGCTTAATCCAAAAATTAAATTTTGTGCATCAAGCTTGAAAACAAAGGGTGAGCGTCTGAGCTGACACAAGTTAATGTGGCTTCACCTATCTCAGTGGGAACTGTTTTATGCCAGCTGAGGTTCTGTCCTTCACCATTTTTGTTGTAAAGTGAATCAGCTGTAGCAGTAAGCATTTCTTGCTGCTTACATTTAAACATAAACTTTTCATTTCAAGTAAGAGTTTTTAAGAAACTGTTTAATAAACAAAATGCTTTTTGAACAGTTGTATCTAGAATAATTTGCTAATGCTAAACAAACGGAGTAGTGGATCTGATCCTAACTGTGTTCTCCATGGAGCCCTCTTGAAGTGGATGAAATTGCAAATCATGCCTGAAAGTGCAGTGATGTAAAAATGGGAAGAGATGAATATCAGACGAGAAAATGTGCAAGAGCTGAAGCACTGAGATGCCACGCTGCAAGGGAAGAACAAATGGCCACAGAAAATTCCAAGATGATTATGAAAGATGAACTAATTAAAACCTGTCTTCCAGCAATTAAATTAAGACAAAAGTTACCACTACAAAATCATGTAACATTCTGACAATTACCTAAAGATAATGGCAATCACTGGACCAGCTTCTGCTCTTTATCACAGTAGTCTTATTTTCATGAGTTTCAATTCTGGACTAGTTCCAATGGGAGTGTGGAGCAGCAATGCTATCCTGTTACTCTTCTGTTACGATTAAGTAAAACATGTTAGAATACCCATGTCAAGGTGTAAAAATGAGTATGAAATTCCAAGCCAAAGTTGTTCCAGATGCTTTGAATCGGTAGCTGTACGAAAATTTGGCATTCGCTGCAGTTCTTGAGACCCAAAGCTCCCAGGGCCTTACATAAGTTATGCACATCAAGGCTGTAGAATTAGGCCTTGTAATTGTAAAATCTGCCAAAACAGCAGCACGGCAAGTCAGCAGAATCTTTTAGTTCTTGGCGTGTGGCCTTTACTGATGTGTAGTTCAGATCTGAAAAAAATTCTATTGGGAGGAGATGGAGAAGAGAAACATGAGAGAAGTGTTCATTAACCTTTACCCTCCATAACAGAATTGGAAAGCAGTAGCTTGAAGTCTTGGCTTGGACAGCGAGGCTTCACTCAGCTTAATCTTTGAAGTAAATACACAAGCTTTTATTTTTAAATTACTTAAATGCTGCAGTTACAGTTAGTTTGAACATTAAATCAAATATTACAAATATGGGTGGACAAGAAAATGTTAACTTCTTGTAAATGAAAATCATTCAGTTGCTTGATTGCTATTAGAATTAGTCAAACATTAGCAAACTTGTTATTACTGAGACAAGCAATAGAAATCAAAGGGCTAAAATGTAGTCCTGAAACACAGCAAAGCAGGCTCCAGTGTGCTATATCCCTCTGAAGCTGCAGAAGATAAATGAGCAGAGGTAGAGACAGGGCAGAATACAAAGCTCTATCTGAAAGCTAAGGAAAAAAGAAAACCAGCTTAAAAGGGCTGAAAAAACAATCATAAAACTTTTTAACTTGGCTGTAAGGAAGGCTTATCTAGAAGATAAAATACAAAGACTGAAAGGCAGATAAATAAAAATTTCTCGCTTGTTTTAGGCTTCATGACAGTCAAAGCAGTTTTTTGTCACAGGTGGACAGAATGGAATGCTTGCTTCATTTCTTTCTTTCTCACTTTATCAGAGAGTCTGTCATGCATGCATTTTTAATTGTTTGGGGTTTTTTTTTCTCTCTCTCTCCTTAGTCCTCCACTGTTTGTAAAATTCTGTCAATATATATCCATTGTATCTTGGTAGGCATTGTCTTCTGCTTATTTTGTCTTTTTCTTTTGGTCATTGATTTTACTTGCATGTATTTTGAATTTTAGTGATGTTAAAATAGTTCATTTTGTTTGCCTAATGCTTCAGATACATTCCATATTATCTTTCCAGAATAGTGGTGTTACTGATAGGGGTTATGGCATTAGGGTTATGTTTGGTAATTCAGTGACTCTTAACAAAATTGTGCAGGGTTGTATCTGGAAGTAACAACAACATATATACAGTCTGAGACAACTTTTGTAAGATGTTAGTCTGCTACTGTACTCTTCCTCTGTAATCTGTAAGCTAAAGAATTTTATCTGCAGGTATTTTTAATAATTGTATCGGAAACCGCAGCATCATTTTTGTCAAATATCTTTCCTATACCTAAAGCCTCTACCTAATTGGCAGTTTGAGATTTAATAGTTCTGCTGAGCTGAAAGTGGGAGTAATACTGTTATCAAATGGAAACCATTCCTGTTTTCCTGGTATGGCTGTATCCAAATTCAGAAAGGACCAAGACAGAAAATACTGGTACTTTGATATAGTGTCATAGGATCATAGAATGGTTTGGGTTGGAAGGGACCTTAAAGATCATTTAGCTCCCTGATAAAGAGTCCCTCCCCATCTTTACTGTAGCCCCTTTAGATACTAGAAAGCTGCTATAAGGTCTCCCCGGAGCCTTCTCTTCTCCAGGCTGAACAATCTCAGCTCTCTCAGCCTGTCCTCACAGGAGAGCTGCTCCAGCCTCTGTTCATCTTTGTGGCCTTCCCTGGACCTACTCCAACAGGTCCATGTCCTTCTTGTGCTTAGGATTCCAGAGCTGGACACAGTACTCCAGGTGGGGTCTCACCAGAGCAGAGCTGAGGGGTAGAATCACCTCCCTCAACCTGCTGGCCATACATCTTTTGATGCAATGTTTTAAATATATGTTTCTGTACAGCAAAGGTGCTGTAATGTCCCCACTGGGTAAACCAGCAGAGTTAAAGCTTCTCTTGGAGGCATGACCTGATATTGGCCCTTGGTGGTCTCTGTGTGTTGATGCAGCTTGACAGACATCCCTGTGCTGAGTGGGACAGTGGCCTCGCGAGAGACAGAGGGGGTAGGGGCACTGCTGGGAGCAGAGCAGGACACGGTGGGGGCCAAGTCTCTAGAGCAGAAACTCCAGCAATAAAACAGGTTGAGGTGAGAATACAGTATAAACCTTGTGTCTGTTAACCAAGAATGAAATTGGATTGAAAAGAAACATTCACTTCTATACTGATAGATGACAGTAGTTTACTTCTTTGTGTTCTTAGCCCAAGCAGAGTCTTTCTAACTCTACACTGGTTTATGTGAGAGGAACAACAAAGCTTTGGGCATTAAGATTCTCTTTAAAGTACAGGGAAC